ACAGTAACACCATGTGATGTGATTAAGTGTGTGTGTGTCAAAAAGATAAATGTTGGAACTGGTTCACTGAGGCAAATGGAGAAACTGGAGAAATGCTAATAATGAAGGGCTGAAATTATTAGCTGGAGGAAATTACAAAAAATGTTGACTACATAAATAAAAGTCATGGGTAAACTGTTGAAATAGCAAGAAGACATGAATAATGAATGGTTACATAAAAACTCTGTCAATTCATCTCACTAGGGTTGGGTGATAAGATGTCGAGTCAATATCACAATGTTTAAACTTTTTAAACTTTTACCTCGATAATGATTAATGAAAGATTATTCTATGCCCCCTTATCTTTATAAAAACCTTCTGAATTCATATTAATGTTCATAGATAAACAGGACATCACTTCTTCTGCAACACCAAGTTGCGTCACAATCTGGGGGAAGAGCTTTTTCTCCTGTCTGCAGGAGAGTGTGTCTGCTTGTCTCTGCATCAGATCATGAATTTGGATCATTCTGGTCACTTTATGTCCTGGCTGTGTGTGTCACGTTAGGTCTCGATTGTTGGACTTTTTCTTCAACGTTGCATACGGGTCTCATAAACTCTAACAAACACAAAAGTAAACTTCGAGTACTGTACGTGTCCCAATAACTGGTAAAGTTAGTGCAGGTCAGCAGAGGAGTGAGGAGGGAGGACAGGGTAGTACGGCACGGTACAATGTAGCCGCTCCGCCACCGCAAAACCTGATAGTTCTTGAATGCACGCATTGGGGAAAGTAGAAACTGAATTAACTGACATGAAAATGTCAGTGAGAGGTTGTAAATGTCAATTTCAATACATTTTCGGTCAATTGCCAAGCTCTACAGCCCTAACTAACGATATCCGATTCATGCACTTATTGTTATGTTCCATGCAGCACAAGAGGGTCAAACAGCAAACTGCTGATACGACTGGAAAACAAGGATTCACATTCTACGTCTGTATAGTCCAAGAACTATCGGTATAGTGTCATCTGTGTTGCTTTTGAATACAGGTTTTTAAGAAGCAGTGTTTTACAGTGTTCGCTGCTGTCGGCTCACTCATTGTGGGGTGATTGAGTTCAGAGCAGAGGGGTTTTCCAGCAAAGCAGACAGACATCTTAAGGCAACTCTGCCTCATCTGTCAGTGTCCCGCGGCTACCGATGGATGGTCACTGGGACAGAGAGAATCCTGAAATTACATTTTTCAATGTGAAATTCCTCTGTCTGAAGCGTAAATGCTTTTTAAATCAAGAAAGCCAGCAGATGAAACCATAACAACAATTTCCTGTTGTCTTCGAGGGATTCTTTGCCTTTCTTGTCCACTGCCATTTATTACATTATGTTGCTTAAAGGGAGCTGATATCCCCACAAATATGTGACTAGGCAGAGCAGATCCCATTGAATTTGGGGCGTCCTTCCGACCACAGTGTCTGGAAGAAATCTTATGAAGTTTTGGCAGTGTGCTGGCTTAAAAAAAGCTGGTTAAGAAGAAGGAAAGGTCCCAAAGAGTCTGTACAAAAATGCCTGACTGTGGGCCGACTGAGGCAGGAGATAGAGCAGATCGTAAACTAACCAGAAGGTCGGCGGTTCAAGCCCTGTACCCCCATTCCCTTGGGCAAGATACTGAAGCCCAAATTGCCCCTGACAACTGTGCTGGCAGTGTATGAGCGACGTATGATAGAGAAAGTACAGATGCACTGTATGAATGTTTGTGTGAATGGGTGGATAGCAAAACTGTAAAAACACTTTACGTGGTCATCAAGACTAGAAAAGCTCTAGGTCATTTAAATATCTCAGACTTTTGACATTCTCTGGTGTGACAAAGTTGTGCAAAATATCTGTCCAAAAGATGATATGTGAAACAAACCCTGGAGATGTATTTTTGGCAACACTAAAGGCATAGCTCAACAGATGGCAATGTCAGTCAGTTGTTGGTTCACCGCTTTGGTCCAACTCTTTGGTGATCAGTTGACATTTTCCCTAGTGTTAAAATCAGTTTGGAGTGAAATGTCTCAAAAAGTAAGAGATGGTTTGACATGTTATTTTGTACAGAATCCTACTGCCTTTAGGGAAGAAATGACTTGACCTTCAGATTAATCTAATAAAGACGTTAATGATTTAGAATTTAGTAGAATAAATTAGGTGATCCTATTGACTTGTAATGTACCACCATTATCAGGTCAGTTTGAATGTGTACTATTATAACCACATGCTTACAAAACTAATAAACATTAACCTCAGCTGTTCTTTGTGTGTATTATTAGTTTGCACAATAGCAAATGTTAGCATGTAACACACAAAGTTTAAACTAATCATGGTAAACATCTCTTGCGAAACCATTACCATGTCAACATCATTACTTTGAACATCAACCTTCATTTGGCAGTTTGAATTTCTTAACAATGAATCGATTTACTTGACTGGCTAGACTGTACAATTGTGATTTATCATATCAGGAAAGCAGGGTGTTTTTGTTCTAAGCTGCTTCACTGCTTCTCTTGGGGAAACCTGAGAGTGTGTTATACTGACAGCGTGAGGTGAGATGAGGACTCAGAGAGAATAAAGACACTGGTAAAACCAGTAATATCCCTGAAACCTGACACAGCGCTCTCTCTTTACACATGTGAAAAACAGACAACAAAAACACTGAAACTCCAGCTGCTCTACCTTTTCCTAATATTTTCCCCTCAGAATTGAGAAAAACAACTTCTGCACTTGTGCCACATGTGCAGGCTTGTCCCTCAACCGTCTAGTCGTTTTTATCCTACCTATACTATTATCTAGTATCAGACCGTGATATTATTGGACACCTAAAAGTGCCCCCAGGCATAATGATAATAATAATAACGACCACAATCATAATAGTAATAATCATCAACATCATTAAACAATTATATTAAATTAAAATCCCTGCAGAGATAAAAGCTATTTAGAAAAAGAAGGGGTTTAAAGGTAGTATCAGATGCAGAAAATCTAAAGTCAGTTGATAGGTCATTCCTGAGTTTAGTGGTCCAGCTAATCTAAGATGGCTCCCTGAACCATAGAGGGTTTGCAAATTCTTCCTATGCATTGAAAACTGGTTGTAAAGAGGAAGCCAGTGCAGAATTATGGAGGCCATAATTGTTACATATATTATTTTTACTTGAACCAGTCATAATTCTAGAAGCATCACTGTAAACTGATTGAAGGCAGTGCAGGTAAGCTTTCTATAATAGTAAAGATGTAATTTTTGATTTAAACTTGAAAAAGTAAAATGTCAGAATGCATTTTAAAAACCTGTCTTGAAATTGACTTAATAGTATTACATTAGGCTCCCAGGTTGCCTTTCTATCCGACTGACATTATTTGGTTTCGCAAACATGAGGATTTCTGTTCCGTCAGCATTAACTTCAGAGAGCTATAGGGAAGTCTGATAGCAGACCATGTGGCTTTAGGATGCTAAATGTCAAGAAAGACTTTCAGTATATCAGACATCCATTTACATTTAGTCTTTCTTCATTTGAGTTTTTATCTGAGTCTGAGAGGATTTCATCCAGGATGGAGAGGCAGATATTGCTGAATGAATTTACCAAGTCATCATGGTGCTGTTCCTGCACAAGAGAGCTCGAGTTTAAGGGGTTGGCGAAAGCGTCACAGAATTTCCCGCAGAGTCATCAGTAAAAATGTGTGACAGGACAGAAGCACAGGGATCAACAGTGGGTGGAGATGAGGGGACATTAAAAACAACAGCTTTGTGATCTGAGACATAAAGGTCCAATTTATAGGGTGAAAACCACTAGTGGGGATCCAACCTGAGGTACAGTCTTTTAAATGTGTAGCACCTTCATCAATTTGATTTAAGCTAGTATTTAGGAAATCATGAGGAAAGGGGATAGAAGGATAGCAAAAATCACCAAGGATGACAGTTTTGTTATATATAGGTATAATAAGTCAGAAGAGCTCATCAATAAAAGCATTTAGCTTAAGTGGCGGCTGTAGTGGGTGTAGAGCGACAAACAAGAAATTTGACTTAGGAGTTAACCCTCTTGACTTCCTCTTCCCCACTTCCCCTTCCCAACCAGAAATGGCTGAGGCCCTCATTTTTCTCTGGTAGCCCACCACAAGCCCTCAGGTTTTGCTGATGTTGCGCTTCAGATGATGTGTCTTTGCAGCACATGACAAAGTTCGTCATTGGTCCTCTGTGCTCCTCCTCTATAAACATTTCTCACAGGTCATTATCCCCCCCGCATTCACATATGTTAACATATTAGCTGAGTTCTCTCCATCACAGTGGCTGTGTGTGTCTGAAGTCGTATATACATTTTTAGTGAATTATCTTTGGTGTGTAAGATTTAAAAAAATATAACCATTTAGGACAAAGTTTAGATATGAGTGTGGACAGACGTGGTCTGTCTGAGTGGTCACTGACAGTCAATTTTACACATAAAGGATAAATGATGTACAAAATGATAACATGTAGACAGTGTCAGCTAGTAAAGGGTGCTGTACAGTTTTTTATCATGTATCCAAGAGGTAAAATATATCTCCGTGGTATCTTTGTGTTGTAGTAGTGTTAATATATTAGGCCAAAGTGTTTTTCTGATCACTCCTTCATGTCCTCTCAACTCTTTCTTTTCCTGCTGTTTCAGGTTTTAGTCATATACACTTAGAAAGCCAAGTGACAGCTACATGCATGTTTTCTTCAAGGTTACAAAGAAAAATGTATCCAGACACAAACAATGTGGAGTATAATTATGCCCAAGAAAGTTTCCTGAGTAAACGGGCTGTACGGTGTATTTGTTTGTGTGCATGGATACAAGAGTGTGTCAGTGGTCTATTATTGCATCATTGGGCTTTGCTTTGTTGTCATTAAAACCATCTTATAGCAGACAATTGTTTTGTGTCTTTAGCAATGTTCCGTTTTGAATGTGAATGATAATCTTACAGCTTGTTATGTCAGATTTCCTCATTCATTCACCCTTTCTTGCTCTCACTCTGTTTCTCCTGCAGCATGGGTGGGCTCACTCTCCATGGGGATGATCTTCTTCTGCTCTCCAATCGTCAGCGTATTCACCGACATCTTTGGCTGCAGGATAACTGCAGTGGGCGGAGCTGCGGTCGGCCTGGTTGGCCTCCTTGCCAGCTCCTTTGTCACGTAAGGAAGCAAATAAATGTGTTAATTCAAGCAGGATCATACTTATCACTACATAAACTGTGACTGTAATCAGTTGGCCAGTAGATTTAGTTAACTCTTCATAGTTTATATTACAAAATCACGAGATTTACTTATTTGGATATCTGTTTGGATAAGTGATTCCTGTTTACCTGTAACACATTTCTTTAACTTTTAACACCATTATCACTCAGAAGCAGTTTTTGAAATCGTAATAAACATGGCTTACAATTCATTATAACAAACTAGAGACGGACATTATTAGGAGGAGGTTCATGATTATGTGATCATGATCAGATGTGCATGAAATCCTGTACATATAATGAGAAACATAATCAAGTTCCTGTAGTGAGTTATAAAACATTAACTGTAACATTAAGGTAACAATCTGAGTAAACGTCTCAGGTAGCTTTAAAACCAAGAAATGCTTTGTTACCTAACATTCATTAACTGTTCATTTCCACATTGTAAAAGTGGAATTATAGATTTAGAACTCTAAAGAAGTCTATGTATCTGCTTACAGCTACATTGTAGAGGCATTTATTCATTCTATATTTGGGAAACGATCAGGCTTCCAGAATACTTTTCAACACTACTCTGTTGAGAGGCTCAGTGCATAGCACTCTGTTGTTAATCATTTCCTTGAAGCCCATACCTTTCTACACGTGAGGAAGCACTAACACCAACACACAGAAATATCTGATCCAAGCAAAGCAGCAAGTGTGTCACCCTCACTATTTCATCACCTTCATGTGCAACAAATAAGTAATAAACTACTCATCAAGTCACTGACAAGCTGCATTTAATAAACTTCTGGCATGTTGACAGACACGTTCTGATGCATGGTGCAAAATGTCTTAGTTATGTGATACAAATACAGCAGATACAGTATATATATATATATATATATATACATCGCAGACAAGACTTTTAAAACAATGGGAGCTCTTGTACCTTTACTCAGATGTAAACCATTAGATGACAATATTTTTTAACTTGACATACTATTGGATGTAATTTCTAAAGTTGAAAGAAAACCACTTGTCAAGATGAACCACACTATTGGCTTATCAAATATGTGTCTATCACTTCAGTTTAAATTTACTACAAGCTTACTTGATAAAAAAGTACTGACCTGCTGGCGTCTTGGTTAAGGTCGAGCCAATGACACAAAAGATGGTATCTTATGCATAAAAAAAGGATATTGAAATAGAAATTTCATTGCTCAGTTGGGAAAAAAACATTATCTTTGTAAAATATCAGGGGGCCCTACATAAATTCTTGAGGGACACCTTTATCAACCATCTGGTATCATGATTCAAAACCATCTGTTGGAATTAACCCTGAACAATATGAATTTATCATTCACAGCTGTAATTGGAATTATCAGAACCAATGCAAAGCAGTTTAATTAACAAGTGTATCGTAATGAACTAAATCACTAACAGTTAGACTTTAGCAGCTTAATTTAATGTTGCTAAGTTGTTGCTATACATATGTATATATATATATATACATGGCCTGAAAAATATTAATGTCAGCAGGGAGTTGAAAAGCTGTACAGTGATGTATGCTGTTATTTTGTCCCCTCACAGGTCCCTGGGTCCCATGTACTTCACCTATGGCATAGTATTCGCCTGCGGGTGTTCTTTTGCCTACCAGCCCAGCCTGGTCATCCTGGGCCACTATTTCAAGAAGCGGTTGGGCCTGGTAAATGGCATCGTTACTGCTGGCAGCAGCATCTTCACCATTACTTTACCATTTATGCTGTCGGGCCTGCTGGAGAAAGTGGGCCTTCATAACACCATGCGGGTCCTCTGCATCTTTATGTTTGTGCTGATTCTGGCTGGCTTCACCTACAAGCCCCTTCTGCCCATCAGATCCACTAACACACAGACTGGCAGAAAGTGCCCCCCCATGAGCCAGATCTTCAACACCAATATCTGGAAGTCTTTGGGATATCGCATTTGGGCCTTCGGTATCCCTGCCGCCCTCTATGGCTACTTTGTGCCTTACGTTCACCTGGTAAGTTTGTGGGTTTTTTTTGTGCTAGTTTCTCCTTTCCGTTAAATTCAGTTTCATTGCTCTTTACAAATAGTGTATGTTCATATGTTGTTTGTATTACTGGGTATCATCACTCTTGGCCGAAGGTCAGTGTGATGACAAATAACAGCACATAAAAGCCAACTGAGGGATTCCATGTTGGGATTTCCCAGTATCCTAATCCCATGTTTAGGATGTGTTCATTGGCACGAGAGTGGAGTCAGTGCCAGAGGTCAACTAACAAGCTTCAACAACACAGATATCAAAACACATATTAGCAACGTGAGTGTTGTTAATATGAAAGGTGAGAAGAAGGGAAGTTGAAACCCCAGCTGGAGTCTTCCAGGCATTGAGATGGTTTGGAATGTTACCACCTGGGTGAGGATTTTTCACTGGATAGCTGGATTATTAAAGTGCACTTCAGTATTTAGGAACATACTGTATACACTGTATATCAGGTTGTCTTTGCCCATGAGGAAGTAAGGCAGTGGTACTTTCAAATCTATTTATGAAATGAATAATACAGCATTTGACATTTGTTCGCAATTTAATATATTTTTAGGTAGATGGAAGAATCCTTTTTAACAGACAATTCTAACAAACACCTCACAAGTAGTATGTTTTTTTGGGCTTTATTAGACATAATAAATACAGGGAAGGTATGAGAGTGAGAGGTCCATGTGCTGTAACCACTCAGCCAAGTATTGTTTTTGATCTTATATGAAGACCGTTATGCCATAGTTCTGTGGAAATGGGCAGGTCCTTCACCAAGATGGGCACACAACTCTGGTCAGAAAAGCAAATATATACACTGACAAACCTGGTGCCAAAAGCAGAGACTCATGACCATTCTAAATGTTTGCATCTCACAAACTGTGTTCACATTAGTAGCTTCTCTCACAGAAGGATTATGTCTCCAGGTGACATAGTGGGATACCATCTGTGCGGTCTTGGAGAAAGTCGTCCAATATGACAGGAAGACAGAATCCCGCAACTCTCATGTCAGTCAAGACTTAATTCTGTAAACAGGTGTCGCTTTCCTGAAGTAGCCTGTATTTCGGTTAAGAACTGTGAAACTGTGACTTTGGAAAACATTTTCTTAAGAGGGCTGCAGAGGAGAGCATGGATGTTTTGGTAGAGCTCATGAGGTGACTGTTTATTTGGACATGGTGACTCTGTTATTGGAGGGAGATCAGCCTGTCGCAGGGATCCCAGCCTGTTTTCTCCGCACTTCTCTCCCCAGTCTGCTACTTCGACCTGGACACTACAGGGGCTGCAGCCTCAGTGCCACCCCTGGCCAGCAGCCTCTTTCCCCTAGACACAGAACCCCCAACCCCCTTCTCTGCTCTTACGGCCAAGCCCCAATCCCTGTGACACTGCATGGGAAGAAAGAGGAGGGAAAAACATGGGTCAAACAGCACATTGTTCAACCACTCAGGAAGGGAGTCCTATCAGGCCCTCGAAAGCGCCGTACTTATCTTTCTCTGGTGTGTGTGCAAGTGTGTGTGTTCTCGTTTCTTTTACCTCTTTAGGTTCTTATCCAGTATAAACATTTAACTTGTCAGGGCAAGCAGTCCTCATGGGGACCAAAGCACAGTCCTAATGAAACACAACTTACTTTCTGAGATCCTTGTTAAGGTTAGTGATCAAGTATCAATTATGGTTGGGTTAAGGTTAGGGTTAGGCATGAATTGGTCATGGCTAATGTTAGGGATGAGGTTTGGAGTGAAAGTCAAAGCAATATCCTTACCTGTGTGTGTGTGTGTGTGTG